GTGATTTGAGGCAGAGTACATGAAACCATGCATGGTTGTGAACTTTAGGAAGTAATAAAATATTCTTTTTTATTTTAAAAATTGTTGATGATACGTTGGAAATAATAATAATAATAATAATAATAATAATAATAATAATAATAATAATAATAATAATAATAATAATGTAGATATTAGAATTATTCAGTAGAATATCAATTCATGTAGTTTTAACCTCATAATATTATTATTATTATTATTATTATTATTATTAGAATTGAAGCATGTGCTCCATCTCAACTAAAAATATAGTTGGATTGCACATTAATGGTTATATACTGTGGTGGGTTCCAAGCAACACGTGGACTGGTAAACCGTAATCGCTTATGAGTGGCACTGGCTCTGATACCAAATTGAAGCATGTGCTCCATCTCAACTAAAAGTCTAAGCTGATAGTTGGATTGCACATTAATGGTTATATACTCACAATTATTATTACTATTATTACTGTTATTACTATTATTACCACTATTACCACTATTACCACTATTACTACTATTACTACTACTATTACTACTAGTAATTCACCCGCGCGATGCACGGAAATAAATTATGTTATTATAAATATAAATAAAAATAGAAAAACTAAAATATTTTAAATTATTTAATATAATAATATTTTTGAGCTTCCATTGGTCAAGTATTTATTATTTTTATAGAATACAAAATTACAATTAAAATTAAAATTAATATTAAAATTATAATTTTGTATGGTTAATATAATCTCTAATTATGTGCATATTCAAATAAACTTATAGAGAGAATTTACATAATTACATTAATTTATTCTTAATTGTATTTCATCTATATTATAATTTTCACCATACGAATAATAACTAAGATAATTAAATTTGAAAAGCAAATTTCAAATTTTGTATGTGTAAATTTAAACTCTAATTGAACACATTTGTTATATGATTATATAATATATAGCTATTTTATTTTTCAAAAGTATATTTTTTATATGATTATATAATATATAGCTATTTTATTTTTTAAATGTTTTTTTTTTTTTTTTTTTTTTTTTTTTTTTTAATAAAGGATGTTGTGGCATTAATTGTAACATTAATTATTTTCCAAACCATATAACTTTATTATATAAAGGATTATTATTATTATTATTATTATTATTATTATTATTATTATTATTATTATTATTATTATTATTATTATTATTATTATTATTCATTTGGGGTAAGAAACATAGAATTTCTCAAAGTTACCCCAAAGATTTTATATCACATAGCTAAATGCTAATAAAGTCTCATCACTCCCCGACAATAAAGTTTGACGTTTGGTATAAATGGCATTCATAATAAACATTAATTATATTAGATTTAATTTTAAAAATACAATAATTTTAAATTGAAAAAAATTAAAATATAAAAATTAAATAGAACAAAATAATACAATCATATTTATAATGTATGTACTTATCAGTTATCACACAACAAGAATCCAATGTTTCTGAAAACGAATTACGTGATTGTTTAAGACTTCTAGAATAAAAACAAATTTTGTTTTTGACTTTCCTTATGCTGTCCCGGGTAAGAAAAATTATAATACATACTAGTTTTTTAGGCGCATTGCGTGATTGGGATAATGCCCAATGCTTTTTTTTTTTTTTTTTTTTAAAATAAGTACTTTAAAATATATTAAGGCAAGATTATATTGAAATCGTTCATGCATAGATAATTAAAGGTTGAATTTGCATATTTAAATAGGTAATTCTTCTCCCAAAGGTTGAATCCCCAACCCCAAGGGCCCCCCACACTCCGACCCGACAGAGCATTGTGGGAAGTTGTAAATCACGGTGACTCAATGGTTCAGCAGACAGGGCCAAATGCTGATACGCACAAGGAATCTGCCCACTTTGGACACATAATTCCCGCATTGCCGTCGCCGAGGTTCAAACCTTGGTCTCTTCTCCCAAATACTACCCACTAAACCATTGAGCTAAGCCCGTGCGGGTTAAATAGGTAATTCTAAGTTTACAAATGCAAGATAATATAGTCAATATTGATTATAATTGTCAATAAAATAATTGTATAGGTATGGTTGAAACTAAATAGGGACATAAGGGAGAACAAATAAAAATTAGGGCATAAAATATTAAATATATACTAATATTGTTTGAGGAGATTCCGACATTAGGATTTGTGGTTAAGTTCTATTAAGACTTTAATATTAGAATTAGATTAATGGTGTAGTTATAATTCTATATTAGACTTTAATATTAGAATTAGACTAACGGTGAATTAACGGAAAAGTTAAATGGATAATCATATAATTAAGGATAAATTAGAAAATCTTAAAAGAAAAAAATTAAAACCTGAACAATATGAACCAATCATTTGATTTAATAATTTGGCGGTCATTTTTTCTACCCAATGTTAATAATTAAATAAATTCGCTAGTCAAATCCGCAAGTATAATCCGCTAACGCTAACCGCTAACTGCTGATTGTCAAACAAGGACATTGCGAGGTAGTTCTCACTTCAATTTGTTGTGTGATTTGAATACTCTCTTTGTCACAAAATCTCTCAAGTAGTTAATATGGTTGGCTTTATTAATTATATTTTTTAAATTTTTTCATGGTATTAATAAAATACTTGGTAAATAAGTACATAGCATTATTTTATGTTATAACTTTGATATTTAATTAGAAAAATAGTGCACAAAAAAGATAATAGATAATGTAGTGAATATAATCAATTGATGAATTTGAATGTAAAAATTTTTACATTTGAGAAAAATAAAGACAATATAACTAATGAAAATATTTCTTTTAATTAATTTATTAATAATTAATAATTTTTTTTCACTGAATAAAGACATTGTAAGGACAATGTAGCGAATATAATCAATTAATAAATTTGAATATAAAGAATTTTTATATTGAAAAAAAATAAAGACAATATAACTAATAAAATTATTTATCTTATTTAATTTATTGATAATGAATAATTTTTTTTTTCCGAATAAAGACATTGTGGACACATAATTCTAAATTAAAGAAATGCATATGTATTATTTTTTGTTGTAACTACTAAATTATTATTTCTATAATTTAATAAGAGTAAAATAGAGTACTAATTATGCCAACTTTAATTGTGATGCGATTCGAACCTAAGACTTTTTTTTATTGAAATCAATAAGTTAACGGTGAACTAACAGCAATTCTCACTTCAATTTGTTGTGTGATTTGAATACTCTATTTGTCACAAAATCTCTCAAGTAGTTAATATGGTTGGCTTTATTAATTATATTTTTTTTAATATTTTCATGGTATTAATAAAATACTTGATAAATAAATACATAACATTATTTTATGTTATAACTTTGATATTTAATTAGAAAAATAGTGCACAAAAAAGATAATAGATAATGTAGTGAATATAATCAATTGATGAATTTGAATGTAAAAATTTTTACATTTGAGAAAAATAAAGACAATATAACTAATGAAAATATTTCTTTTAATTAATTTATTGATAATTAATAATTTTTTTTCACTTAATAAAGACATTGTAAGGACAATGTAGCGAATATAATCAATTAATAAATTTGAATATAAAGAATTTTTATATTGAAAAAAAATAAAGACAATATAACTAATAAAATTATTTATCTTATTTAATTTATTGATAATGAATAATTTTTTTTTTCGAATAAAGACATTGTAGACACATAATTCTAAATTAAAGAAATGCATATGTATTATTTTTTGTTGTAACTACTAAATTATTATTTATATAATTTAATAAGAGTAAAATAGAGTACTAATTATGCCAACTTTGATTGGGATGAGGTTTGAACCTAAGACCTTTTTTTTGTTATTGAAATCAATGAGTAAGTTAACGGTGAACTAACGGTAATTCTTAAAATTTTAACGGAATTAGTAACGGTGTGTGGGTATTTTAGGAAATTTTAGTGTAAAATTCAAATCTGATCAATCTTTTAATCAATCTGAGCCATTCATTTGATTAAAATCTGTGACCGCCATTTTTTCTACCCATTATAGGCCTAACTCTCTTGGGCTCTTATTAGTATAGTAGATAGATAAGAATTTCACAGAAATTTCCCCCTTGAAATTTGCTTCTCTCTTTTGGCAGACTCGGTCCACACTCAAATATTGAACCATGTTCCATCTTATAAAATAAATTACTAACATAAAGTGCATTTTTAATATACTAAAGATACATTTTTAATACATTAAATGTTCATTTTTTGAAGGTACATTATTTGAATACTAATTGTTTATTATTTGGTATATTCAACCGAATAATCAACGTTCAGTACTCAAATAATGTATCTTCACTATATTAAAAATGAACATTTATTCATGATCCACAATATAATTTGTCCAATTACCACGTATGCCCGCCAACCTGAATAATCATTATACTATGGACTATGATCTGTTGAGCATATAATATATAAACACAAATGTGTAATCCAACTATCAGTTTAGCATTTTAGTTAAGATGGAATACATGCTTCAATTTAGTATTAGAACCAATATCATGCTAAAGGTCATGGGTTCAAACGTGAAGATAAAAAAGATATTATGGTCCACGTGTTACGTGTTCCTTAGAGCCCATAAAAAAAAATAATTAACTCGCACATGTAAAAAGCGCGTTAAGCATATATCATATATAAATGGGTTTTAGTCAATTTGATCCACTAACCTACCTTATAAGATGGATCATTAACATAAAGTTTTATTAATATCCTAAAAATTCATTCATTGTTAGGTTAGAGTTGCCAGTTGCCGCTTAACTATTGACCCTCACATTAAATTAAGGTGTCCCATTATTTGGGTAAGAAAATGATATTACATAATGTAAGAAATATGGTTGCAAGAATTTTGCTTCTCTCCGATCCATTGCTATCTTATATAAGCAGCTAGCCTCAGCTCAGGGATGTAAACTTGTATCACATACCCGGCCAATATAATATATTACATTTCAATGAAGCCCCTACTAGTGCAGTGTGTTTTTTGGGGTTTGTTGTTTATTTTACAATGGGGTGGTCATGAATGTTGTCTGAGAGAAGAAAGAATGGCTTTACTTCAAATCAAAGCATTCTTCACTACAGGCATAGTTAACGTTGTTGTCGCACATCGTTTTCTGCCATCATGGCTTGAAAAGGGAGATAATGATTGCTGCACCTGGGAGCGAGTAACTTGCAATCCTATCACAGGTCGTGTTACGGAGCTCTCTCTAGATCATCTAAGCCAAAATTATTGTAATTCTTTCTCAGGACTTAGTCTCGATGTGTCCCTGTTTAGTCCTTTTGAGGAACTGCTAAATCTGCACTTATCTGGGAATTGCTTTAGTTGTTGCCTTCACAACCAAGGTAATAAGCTCATGTGTTCATATTCATTTAATCCTAGTGAGTTTGTTTTAATTTCCATAGTAGGGAATAGGGATAGTGTTTTGGATCTACGCATGCATGTAATTTTTTTTTTTTTTTTTTTTTTTTTTTTTTTGGTGCATGTGATCTTCAACAGGTTTTGACAAGTTGAAGAGGGTGGAGGATTTGAACCTTGCAGAAAATTATTTTGGGGACAACATCTTCAGGTCTCTTGGTGCCCTCACAACACTCACATCGTTGAACCTTAGTTGGAATTGGATTTATGGCCGTCGTGGTGGTCTACAAGGTATGCATATCTTCAACCATAATATTTTATAACGGGGAGTTTGGTAAATAGCTGTTAGCGGATTGTGTTAATAGGTTTGACTAGTTGATAGCATTAGTGGTTGTAAAAAAAAATATTTGATAAATTAGCTGTTAGCTGATTGCTGATTGCTGATTACATGCAAAATGACTTTCTCAAAAAGCTAATGAAAAAAAGCAAAATGACTTTCTCAAAAAGCTAATGAAAAAACTGATTTGAGCAGCTTTTTGAATTTTAGTATTTTGGAACAATAAGTTGTTACAAAAAGCTAATTAATCAAACACTCACATGGATTGTCTAACCAAGTCAAACAGCTAGTAGTGGTCAAATAACTGAATAAGTCAATATTGGTTGATAAGCTAACTATGACAATTTATATCATGCACCACGATGCGCACAGGCACAGAACTCGCGCATTTCATGCTGACGTCATGCTGATGTCACTCCGTTCATCCGAACAGACGAAATCTCATTATGTGTATTCAGTTAAAATTTTATGTATATTGTGTTATGAGTTTATATGTATTCATAAGAGTTTATGTGTATTATGTTAACAAACCCATTATGTGTATTCAGTTAAAAGTTTATGTGTATTGTGTTATGAGTTTATGCGTATTATGTATTATGTTAGATTATGTGTATTCTATTATGAGTTTATGTGTATTCTGCTATGAGCTTATATGCATTCGAAACAGGAGATTTTTTTTAACAACTTAACAAAACGACGTCGTTTTGGAAGGCGCGGGGCGCACAATGCTATGTGTGCCCTGGTGCACGGTATAACGATTGGCTAACTATGTTACCAAATAGGGCCATTGCTTTAATATTTTATCAAAAAGAACAAACGCTTACCATTAGGTCAAAAGCTATAGTTAATTAATTAGGAGTAGTGAATATGTAATTTTCTTTCCTTATACTTGTGTAACAGTTAACATCATGTCTCGATATAGGATGTTGAACTCCACTCTCTAAATTGATGCCTAACATCTGATCTCAAGGGTGATTCCTGTCTCCATTTTTTCCCTTTTGCTAGATCTTACTATGTTGAAGAATTTAAAGGTCCTGGACTTGAGTGCAAACTATGTGGAGAGGAGCATTCCTCCAGCTATTGGAAACTTGACTACTATGGTTGCCTTGTCATTGGCAGAAAACCATCTCATTGGAACTCTACCCAATCAAGGTAAAACTAACTCCAACGATCATATATATGGTCCCCCACCCCGTCGACCATGGCTCACCTACATGGTGAACTCTGGTCTAAAATAACACCATTTTATTTACATTAAGTGTCAATTAATATATCATATATTTAATAGCACCTGCATGGTGAACTCAGGTCTAAAACAACACCATTTTATTTACATTAAGTATCAATTAATATATCATATATTTAATAGCACATGCATGGTGAACCCTGATCTAAAACAACACCATTTTATTTACATTAAGTGTTAATTAATATATCATATATTTAATAGCATTATTTTCATGTACTATGTTCATAATATTTATTATATAGAAAAAAAAAATCACTTTTGATTCCTTGACTATTGTACATGTATCAAATTTGGTCCTTCACTATTAATATTTTCAAATTAGGTGCATGACTATATAATTTGTATCACTGATCCTTGACTATTAATATTTTCAAATTATGTGCATGACTATGTAATTTGTGTTACATTTGGTCATGCCGTCCAACTTTCCGATGAAGTTTCCGATCAACTATTACCGGAATTTCAACAAGAAAATTATTTTTTTTTTCGGCAATTGTTGGCTGAAAATACCCTTTTAATTAAAAAATATTATTTTCTTGTTGAAATTCCTACAATAGTTGGCCGAAGAATTGGAGCGGCAGAACTAAATATGATACAAATTACATAGTCATGCACCTAATTTGAAAATATTAATAGTCAAGGACCAAATGTGATACAAACTACATAGCCAGCTACCTAATTTGAAAATATTAATAATCATCAATGACCAAATTTGATACATGTACAATAATTAAGGGACCAAAAGTGAAATTTCTTCTTATTCTATATGTTCATAAACCTAAACCTTAATATACATAAACACTATCCTAAATGAACATTATATGTATTTTCATTCACTCTATTGTAGGTTTATAATATTCCTTTGATATGTTCATAAAATTAAATCTTAATGTACAAAAAAAAACATTAATAACAATTATCATGTACTCTGTTCATAATATTTCTTCTATATGTCCATAAACATAAACCTTATTAATGTACATAAACACTAAACAAAATGTATATCATATGTATTTTCATTCACTCTATAACAGGTTCATAATGTTTCTTTTGTGCATGTGTTCATAAAAACAAAGCTTAATGTACATAAACATTACACAGTCAAAATACCTATGAGATCCCTAAACTATAGTGTTTTGTTCAATTTAGTCCTTATACATTTATTTTGTTCAATTTAGTCATTGTACTTTACAAAGTGGTACAATTAAGCACGACAATAGTTAATGGTGTTAATATTTTCGTTAACTTAGTTTATGTGACGTTGACGTCATTACTGTCATATCATGATATTTATATTCCAACTCATATATTACTTTATAAATATTTAAAATTAATTATTTTTACCACCAATATATTAAATTTTTTTGAATGCACCAATATATTAAATTAATATGTCCAAAATAAATAATTACAACCATACTTCCAATGAGATTTGAACACTTGATGTCAACATGCTTGTAATTATTTATTTTGGACATATTAATGTAAAATATTGCCATATTGGTGGTAAAAAATAATTAATTTAAAATATTTATAAAATAATATATGAGTTGGAATATAAATATCATGATGTGGCAGCGATGACATCAGCACCACGTAAGCTAAGTTAATAGTATTATTAGAGTTAATTCCCTAAATGGTCATCTGACTATGACATTTTCTCAAATTGGTTCCTTGCTTTTAATTGCACCCAAAGTGGTCCTCTGACTATTGAATTTAAAGCCAAAATGGTCTTCTGTTAGTTTTGGTGTAAAGTGGGTGTTAAAATGAGGGGTAAAACTGATAATTTAGGATTTTCACTATAGTTAAAGGACTACTTTGGGTGTAATTAAAAGTCAAAGGACCAATTTGAGAAAAGGCCATAGTCGGATGACCATTTTAAGAATTTTCTCTTTATAGTTCAAACATGATTTGTACTCATTTTGATTAAAAGGGGTTGATCTTGTACTTATTTTCATTTTCTAAATAAACAATCTTTTTACTTTAATTGTTAGCTAGAAAAAAAAATATATTTTTTAAATAACTTAGGATAATAATTTTGATTATTAGCCTAGTACTTATATATAGTTGTGCAGACTAACATTAACTTTGGATTAACTATTTATTATTTAGGAATGCTTGACATTATGTATTTGGATTTTGATTTTCTATGATCATAAATAGGCATACATATAATGACAAAACTATTGTGAAAAATTACAATCAAATGGACAACATAAATAAATCATTGCTTATTAAAAAAAAAAAGAAGAAAAAAGACAACAGTTAAATACAAACGGATAAGAAAGATAATAAAAAAAATCATTGTATATTACAAAAATACAATATTGATTTATAGGGGCAGAACAAAAAATGTTAGTCAGTGGAGGCGAAAAATAAATAATAATAAAAAATTCAAAACGTGATAAAAGAATATTTATAATAAAATATGAAATGGTTTGAATAAATTGTATATCATCGCTATTAATATTATATTCATAAATACTTTTTTAATTTAATTAGATCAGCTCTAAGTATTTTATATTAATTTAAATACGATAATACACAATTGAAACTTTTAGATTATATTAACTAGATAGTTCATAAAAATGAAATTTTCTTTTAAAATATTAACTAGATAGTTCAAATTGGTCATTTGACTTTTAATTGCAACCAAAATAGTCACCTGACTATAGTAAAACACTGAATTACCAGTTTTATCCATCGTTTAAACACCCACTTAACACCAAAACTAAAAGAGGACCTTTTCGGCTTAAAGTTCAATAGTCAGAGGACCACTTTGGGTGCAATTAAAAGTCAAGGAACCAATTTGAGAAAAAGTCATAGTCGGAGGACCATTTTGGGAATTAACTCGTATTATTAGCAATGTTAACTATTGTCCTTAATTGCACAACTTTTTATAGTACATGAACTAAATTGAATTAAATAAAGGTACAAGGATTAAATTGAATAAAACGCTATAGTACTGGAACCTCAAAAGTACTTTGACCACATTACACTAAAATAATAACTTTATGTACATTTAGGGTTGGGGTTCAGCCTTTTGGAAGAATAACTTTATGTACATATAGATTTATTCTTTTAAAAAAATAAAAATATTTAAATATGGATGTCATTTAAAAGATCTCAATTAGAGTTTTTAAATAATATCTATTTTTTATACATTAATTTTATTTGTAAAAAAAAAAAGAGAAAAATAAATTTAAGTTTAAAAAAACAGTATGAGAAAATAGCTTTGTGTTGAGTACATATATAGCAACATGTACACTCCCACCCTGGTTGCGGATATAACTATTGCACGTGTCCCTCCTTAAATATAATCTTAGAAAAATTGTAAAAAATGCCCCTCTATAATATGTCAATTATCAATGTTACCCATGAATTATGAGTGGCGTAAATGTTGTCCCTCAATTATTAAAACAATGCACATATAGTCCCTCTCGTAACGGACATGTGGTTCCCCGTTAGTGTACGACACTGTTAAGTCGGAGTAAATATGTAATTTAGTTGTTTTTTCCCTCCCTCGATTCGAAGTACCAGCGATGGACAGCGGTGGCCGGTGGGTAACCACAGGTCCGTTACGGGAGGGGCTATATATGCACCATTTTGATAATTGAGGGGCAACATTTACACCACTCATAATTCAGGGGTGACATTGATAATTGGCATATTATAGAGGGGTATTTTTTACAATTTTCCCTATAATCTTAGGCTATAAGCTTCAATTAAGTATGTATATTTATTATGCAGTTGACTTCAATTTGCAGAATTTTGTAAGCTAAAAAATCTGGAGGAGTTGGATCTTAGTCATAATTATGGCTTAGAAGGAGTTCTTCCACCATGCTTCACTAACTTGACCTCCCTCAGACTTGTAGACCTTTCTACAAACAAATTCAAGGGAGAGATTTCCTTTATTTTTCCTAATCTCAAATACCTTGAATACATCAGACTTGGCGATAATCACTTTAAGGGTAAATTCTCTTTTAGCTTGTTAGCCAATCACTCAAAAGTCAAACTAGTTGAAATACTCAACAATGACAACTTAGAGGTGGAAACTGAAGATTCAAATTGGGTGCCCGAGTTTCAGTTGGAAGTCTTGGTATTGTCACGTTGTAACCTTAACAAGCAGAGTCTCAAGGTTCCAACTTTTCTTGCATATCAAAGCCGGCTAAAACTACTTGATCTCTCCCACAACAATTTGAGAGGAGGCTTCCCTGATTGTGTAATTAAGAATAATTCACAACTCGAGGTTTTGAAACTAAGTAACAACTCTCTTGAGGGGCAATTGCATTTGCAACATCTTAATACAAGTATTTTGTGGATGGATGTATCTGAAAATCAACTTAGGGGAAGACTTGAAGAGAATCTAGGAAGGAAGCTTCCATATATGACTACCCTAAATTTGTCCATGAACCACTTTGTAGGATTTGTTCCATCTTCCTTTTGCAACATGAGTGGATTAGTTCAGCTCGACTTGTCCAACAACTTCTTCGATGGAGAGATCGCCAAGGAAATGGTTTCAGGATGCCTCAATAGTTTACGTGTATTGATTTTATCTGGTAACAGATTTCATGGGCAAATATTCTCGACCGACTTTAACATGACCACATTGAGTGTCTTGCACTTGGAGGATAACCAATTTTCAGGAACAATCACCAATGCAATCAGTACAAGTTACTTGGAGTTGTTGGATGCAAGTAACAATCACTTTTCAGGTGAAGTACATTGGATAAGTAACATGACTCATCTTATCACCCTCCTCATTCAAAATAACTCTCTCACGGGTCGGTTTCCATGCAAAATTCCTGCATTAAACCATCTTGATGTCTCTCATAACTCCCTTTCAGGAGCATTGCTCCCTTGTAAATATGAAATTAATCATTTACTCCTCCACTCCAACAAATTCACTGGACCAATACCTGAAACTCTTTTGCATTGGCCGTTACTGACATTGAATATTAGAGATAACAATTTATCTGGCAATATTCCATCTGTAACTCGTGCAGAGAGTTTGAGGGTTCTTCTATTAGGTGGCAATCAGTTGAATGGATCTTTCCCAAACCAGTTGTGTAGTCTACAGAAGATAAGTTTGCTTGACCTTTCACATAACAATTTCTTTGGTGAAATACCTCAATGCATCAGCAATATTACCTTTGGAAAAACCAGGTATGCCGATTTTAACCATGATGATGTTTCTGTATTCATTGGTAGCAAAGTTGTCACATTATTTGGGAACTTCTTGGTTAAACAGTACGAGATAGTCCCAAGATTAGTTGAATACTATGAAAAGGTGACAATAGACTTTGTTGTGAAAAAAAGGTCCAACTCCTACAAAGGTGACATCCTCAACTGCATGTCTGGATTGGATTTGTCATGTAACAGCTTTACTGGTGAAATCCCACATGAATTAGGAGAACTTGGGTTGATTCATACATTGAATTTGTCTCGTAACCAAATTAAAGGTCCTATTCCCGCTTCATTATCAGGATTGAGACAGTTAGAGAGTTTAGATCTTTCTTACAACAATCTAACTGGCAAAATTCCTCCAGAATTGATTGATCTTAATTTTCTAGCTTTTTTCTCTGTGGCATACAACAACTTATCTGGCAGAGTTCCTGATATGAAAGGACAATTTGGGACATTTGACGAAAGCAGCTATGAAGGGAATCTATATCTTTGTGGTGAACTGCTAGCTAATAAGTGCAACAATATAATTGAGCCAATCCCTCCAACACCACCCTCAGAATTAACAAGTGAAGCAAAGTGGTACGAAATTGACATGTTGATTTTTTGGGTTGCTTTTATTGTTGCTTTTATCATTTTCTTCTTAGGAGTCGTAATTTCACTATATGTTAATCCTTATTGGAGTAGAAGATTGTGGAACTTTGTGGATGATTGCTATTATGCATGCTATTTTAAGTTTTGTATGTAATACTTTATATATATTTTAGTCATTTAACTTGAAACTTGAAACTTGAATACATGGTGCCATTAATAAGAATGCATGCTCTATTCAGCTTTTTCAATAATTATATAAATTGTATCTCCCGTGTCACCTAGCTAATTTGTCAAGTTATTTCTCAATTCTTCATCAACGTAACGATGTGGGAAATGGTGGCTATCTCATTTCTAATTACCTAGCTTATCCCACTCTAATAAATACCAATTTTGGTCCTACGAGTATTAGCAAAATGACAATTTTGGTTTATATGTTTAATTCCTACCAATTTTCATCCATCACTGTTGTTTTAGTATCAATTTTCATTCACAATCATTGTTTTAGGTCAAAATTCATCACGTCGGTTACCTCTTCGTTTAAGACATGCCGAAATATGAAATTATTAAAGGTGTTGTTGGTTTTACGGCTTTTGGTTGCCGGTCGGCGGGCCAACACTACCGTAAAATACTATAAACGAGAGTTTATGATGGAAAGAAAGAGAATAATGCGATATTATTTCTCTAGGGCTTCGGCCACTTGAATGCCAAAAGAAGCCGAATAAAGCGATCGATTTCCAACCCTTACACTGTGATCCCTGGGGATACTTATACAAGAATACAGAATCCGTACAAGGAAAGTAGGGTTGACATAGAGCCAAAACCAACAAGGAAAGTAGGGCTGACGCATGAGGGTGAATCAGCTATGGAAACTGACCACTATTGTGCCCTAATTGCCTAAAATAATAAAGGAATCAGCTATGGAAACTGACCACTAGGGCTTCGGCCGCTTGATTGTGGCGGTGACACCTCTTTTGGGATTGGATTCTAAGTTATTAATCATATCTTTTCCTTGTTTAGTTACTTTTTTGAAGTTAAGTGTTGTGATTTAGATTTAAGAAAAGTGGGGTGTTACAATATACTTGCTAAAAAGAGAAAATATGGGGAACATGAGATGATTGCAATGGCACAAGAGTATAAGGCTTTGACACTAGGAGTTGGGGGGAGGGTGACTAAATATAAAGATCCGGGGAAGTTCACAATTCCTTGTATTGTTGGAGGTCGTCCTATAAAAGGATCTCTTTGTGATCTTGGAGCTAGTGCGTGACAACCCAAAATTCTATTTTATAAATTCGGTTTTAAGAAATTCCAAAATAGCCATTTTTCACATTATAAAAATTTTTGCGATGAAATCGGTGTTTGAATAAATTATTTTGAACCACTTTTAAATTAATTCAACACCGGGACTTATTTTGAATCTAAAATCCTAAATTCTCGGGTACATTGCATACCTAGTTTTTGATCCGAAAGTCAATCTGAGTGAAACCGGGAGAAATCTGAGAAACCTAAACTAAGTGGTTGTCTAGAAAGTATTTTTGGAAAAATGTATTTTTGACCCCAAACTATTTAAAATCTCATTCCTAGACTATGGTCCATGTTGTAAGATAGACCACAAGCTTGCCTGATATTTTGTAGAACTCAACCAAATTACTATTTTGCCATCAACCAATCATTGGTGATCTACCTAGAGTTTTGCACCCATATAAATAGAACCATCTCATCTTGTTTCTCCTGATCCTCTTCATTTGCCTCTCCATTTTCTGAGCTCTGTAGAAGAAAGAAAGCAAAGGCAGTAAGATTTCATCTCATCCCTTCATCTCTCTTTCCTTAAGATTTCCATCCTAGCTTTCAATCTCTGAGATCTTTTCTTAGGCTTTGTGTGTTGTTTGTATTGGTTTGAGGTGTTTAAGAGGTGAAAGAAGTGGTGTTTGAGTAGAGTGGAGGCTGAGATCCACACAAGAAAAAGAAAAAGAAGAGGAAACAACAAAGGTATAACCCCATGGATTCCCAATATCTTTTTGATTCTGTGAAGTCACTGCTATGTAGTTAGAAATGAGTAGAAATGCCAGAACATTGTGTGTTTGAGCTATTAGATGACTTGCTGATGTTGTATAATGTGTTGATGATGTTTTGGAAGTGGAAAATTGTCTGAAAATTCTTTACAGGTGAAGAAGAAGCCTCTGGTGCACAACACAGTGTGCACTAGATAAAAGTCACGGGCATAGCCAATGGCCCACGAGGGGAGCCGCTGGCTAGAGCCGTGACGGGACGGCCCTAGGGCACGGCCCGAGGCCGCCGGGCGGTCCCAGGAAGCGGGGCTCCTCTAGTCCCGCCGCAAGCTCCGTTGGTTTTTATCTGTGCAGTGGCCGGGCCCTTGTGGCTAAGCTACGTGTCGTTTCAGACCGGGTGTCACGGGCCCTTGTGGCTCGGTACCTTGGGGCCGTCATGACGCACGTTTGGACTTTGATTTCGTTGAGTTTGGATTAGAAATGAGCATTTTGTGATAGATTTTGTGAAGAAATTGTGTTACAATAATGTTATTTGAGAAGCATCAGACTTGGCTTTACCTATGTGAACTATAAGATGTTATTTGATTGTTAAATTGAGAAGCATGATCACTAATTGTTTAGGTTTTGTTAGAAGAGCATGCCTAAAGTGTATCTTATGATTCATGGAGATTATAGTCAGGTTTCAATTGATGAAGTGTACAGAGCATGTTGTTTTGATTTCCAAGCATGATTAAGTGTTCTTTGAGAAATTCACAGTAATGTAGAATTGAAGTATGTTGTACAGTAAATTGCATTTCAAGCATGTCATGTTTCAAAAATGCATAAGTGGCCAACGTGAGCCTAAGTATTATTTTCCAAAACTCATGAGCATATGGAAAGTCATTGAGAATTTGTTGAGAAGTGACATGCATAAGTGTGCTTAAGTAGAAGAGTTGCATGAGATATATATGCAATCTATATAAGTGAGGATTTGGAGGACCCGTTGGGACTATGTCCTTTCGGAGTTAAAGAGAAAGTAACAGACATTGCGATCCGGCATATTTATCATGTAACGCGCTGTATTCCGACGTTACGAGGTTGGAGATTGCCCGCCAGGCTTGGAATCCTAGTTAGGGGGGGGGGGGGGGGTGCACACTAAAAGTACGATACCTGATTCCACAGAGAAAGCAAGCAAGAAAGAAAGATAAAGAACCAAGAGAGTGGTTCTGTGGGCGAGTTGAGTATGTGGCCGGCTAGATTGCCGAGCCGGTTAGGTCCATTCACGACTCGTGAAGACCTACCTCCCCACGAGTTAGAGGTTCTGTAGCTACGGATGTGGCGGATGCACGAAATTTCACCGCAAGCTAGGGCTTCGCTGCGGCGGTGTACCTGCCTCGCACAAGAAGAGAAACGAGAAGTATGAGAAATTTTGAGCAAGAAAGAAATCGAGTCAAGAAACTCAAGAGAAAGAAAGTGAGTCATTGCGACTCTTAGAAAGAAAGAGCAAGCGAGTCCTTGTGGCTCAAAGAAACCTCCACAGAAAAGTATTCTATTTACAAACGAGTGGAGGGGCTTCTCAAGCCCCGTCACAAAGCCCCGCCAGGCCAAATCAGTGTAGTGGCCGGGCCCTTGTGGCTCAGCTACGTGTCGTTTCGGTCCGGGTGTCACGGGCCCTTGTGGCTTGATACCTTGGGGCCGTCATGACGCACGTTTGGGCTTTGATTTTGTTGATTTTGGTTAAGATTTGAGCCCCTTGTGCTAGTTTTTGGTAAATGAAATTGTTGCAGAGGTTGTTTGAAGCTTGTTACATTCAGTAGAAATAAGAAGTATAAGACTTTAATCATCTATATGTTGAGCATGCTATTATTTGATTGTTAAATAGAGAAGCATGAGCTTGTTTGTTAAATTTAGCTAAAGAAACATGATTAAAGTGTCGCCTATGATTTATTGAGATTATTGTCAAGTTCTTGAATAATGAAGTTTACAGAGTATGAACTCCTTGAATGTTATATTACAGTGATAGAGCTTAAATTGAGTATTTTGAGTTCCTAGTGCATGTTAAATACTTGCTAAGTGTTTGTTGTGAAGATTTGTCAAGTTATGATTTACAAGCATGATTTATCGAGTTATTGATAATTTACAGTAAATAGAAATTGAAGCATGTTTCACAGTAAATTGCATTTTGAGCATATCATGTTTTAAAAGTGCATAAGTGGCCAACGTGAGCCTAAGTATTATCTTCCAAAACTCATGCGTATGTGGAAAGTCTTTATCTTGTTGCATTGAGAATTTGTTGAGAAGTGACATGTTTAAGTTTGGTGCATGAGAGTTATATATATATACTATCTATCTATATATGTGAGGTTTTGGAGGACCCCGTTTGGACTATGTCCTCTCGGATGATTATTATGGACATTGCGGTCCCAGTATATGTAACGCGGCGTATTCCCACGTTACGAGGTTGGAAACTGCCCGCCAGGCTTGGAATCCTGGTTAGGGGGTGTGCACACTAAAGTAGGATACCTGATTCCACAGAGAAAGCAAGAAAGAAAGAAAGATATAGAACCAAGAGAGTGGTTCTGTGGGCGAGTTGAGTATGTGGCCGGCTAGATTGCCGAGCCGGTTAGGTCCATTCACGATTCGTGAAGACCTACCTCCCCACGAGTAAGAGGTTCCGTAGTTACGGAGGTGGCGGATGCACGAGATTGCACTGTACGCTAGGGCTTCGCTGCGGCGGAGTACCTGCCTCGCACAAGAAGAGAAATGAGAAGTATGAGAAAGTTTGAGCAAGAAAGATATCGAGTCAAGAGACTCAAGAGAAAGAAAGCAAGTCATTTATGACTCAATGAGACCTCCACAAAAAGTATTCTATTTTACAAACAAGTGTATGTGTATATTTATAGTATTGCACGAGATTGCATATGAGTATATTTATAGTATTGCACGAGATTGCATTTGAGTATAGTATTGCACGAGATTGCATATGAGTATAGTATTGCACGAGATTGCATATGAGTATAGCATTGCACGAGATTGCATATGAGTATCGTATGTGCACGAGATTGCATTTGAGTAGAGTATTGTATGAGATTGCATAATGATAATGATGATTCAAGATTGTTTAACGAGCATGATGGTTTAGTTACATTTTGAAGTCTTGTATATCCAATTTGCATAATGAGAACTTGAAAGCATGATGATAGTTTTCGTATTGATTTATAGTATGAAATTGCTTG